CTGCTAATTGATTCCTTTGAATCATTCATCTATGCAGCTCCAAATACTATTTATTCAAAGGTCTTAATCCTGAAGCTAGAAGTATGGCAGTAGACCATTTTCTCCAATTAGAGATATCCCCAGTATGGTCCTCAGACACAAATATCTGGTTTTGTATGTTATTTAATTAGTCCCAGGTAATCAATCTACTGCATTAAAAATCCTGAAGACGCTGTTCTGTTGCAGGTATTGCCTTAGTAAAAATAAACTGGTAAAGCCCGACTTATAAATCAGTGTTTGGACAATTACACTACTCTGAAGACTCAGCAGCTTGATACTCCCAATGTCTTCAAGTTTAACATAAGCTGCCAAACACCCAGCACTTCTGAAGAAACAGGCCACCTATTTAGGAGCCTAAATATGGCATTAAGAACACAACTTTAGCAACTTGCTCTTCATCTAATATTGCCTGGTATGTGTGTCATCTAGATTAGCCACTTTAAACCGTTAAGGTACATTTATTAAACTGTACTAAAACTGTCATATTGAGAATCTGAAATCCTCTGAATGGAAGTGATTGTAAGGCAGAAGCAACATGACAGCACTTTAAATTAAATATCTAAAACTAACACATGTTGTGACATACAATCTTAAAACTCATTTTGCTTTGCAAGTGTTTTGTTTTCTTTGAAAACTTTAGCACACTTCAAAAATAATAGGAAAAGAAAAATCTGCATTTGTAAGAGGTGGTACCTTACCATACAAATACCCAGCTGGAGAGCTATATTCAAATGTAGGATAATAAAGCTCAGCTTTTAGGACCACAAACATTGCACATACTGTTTGTTTGAACAAACAGGAAGGACAAATCAAGGTGAAAAACAGCTGGACATGCAGTGTATTTCCTTAACTCAAAAGAGACAGAGAAACTAAATTCATATTCATAGAATGCAGTGTTTTTACTAGACTGAAAATAGTTAAACACTGGAGTGTATTATTAAACTGTTATAATAGGTTTTAGTAAGCTTATTTGCAAGATATTAAGAAACATTAAGTTGCAATCAAAATACGGTTAGCAGACAGTCCAATTTTTAAAAAAATTTTAGAAATAGTTAATTATTTTCCTCATCCAAGGAATGTAAATGAGAAAAATTAATATAAACCCCACTGATATCTGTGCTTGTGTTTTGGCCACAGAAATGCCTGAAGCATGTTTTTTTGGGGGAAAAAACCCAACAAACAGTATCTGGGGTTAGAAATATATTTTTAGCTTTACATCCTATATGCATTTTTTTTGTACTTTAGATCAGGGAATGAGAGAAGAATATTTGTATTGTCTAACTTCTTGACATTCAAAGTGCCTAAACTGGAATCCCAAGGGCTGTATAAGGTCAGTGGTGCCAGGTATGTTCTTCTAGAGAATTAGATTATCTAAATAAGGAGCCTAGATTCTCTCTAAGGAGAGAGAAATAGGCTCCTCAATTAAATGCTTAAGTTAGATGGTGTGAATACCTGGCAAGATTTCTAATTGTTCCTTAATGATTCCAGTACAAGGCAACAATCCCTTCTCTGTATGAAGTGCCTATAATGGTGCAAGCAGAACTCAAACTTGTAGACATAATTTTTTCTATGAAAGAACTTTAACTGATGTAGTTTGTGTTACCTTAAAAACCTGAGGGAGGGAAAAAAGCTTCTTACAGTGAGTCACATAAGAAAAACTTGGCTATTGGCTTAATTTGCTCACATTTAAATCAGTGTTGCCATGATGTTTAACTACTTTTATTTAAAAACAAAACAAAAACTCTTGAACTTTGGAAAACTCCCGAGAGATGGCCTTTATAACTTCTATAAGCAAAAGCAGCTTTGCTGTAACCAATGTGGCCACTGTGAGTTCAACTTCACATGGGGCATGTTTCAGTTTTAACTATGAAGTACAGAAAATCTGCTTTCACCCCCTTAAGTAATACCCGTAATTACTTATTCAGTTATCAATAATGACATTCATTGTCACTGGTATATTAGTTTAATGCCAAGAAATACTATTTTCATCAGAATTTATGTCAGTTCTATACTATCCATCAGTGCAAACACCAAAGAATAAATAAGTTTCATGGAAGGGAAAAGCTTTGAATTTGTATACGATTTCTCTGTGGCTTATCTTGTTTGCATCAGGTACACGTTTTACAGAAACTAGATGAGCAGCTGACACTGCTGAATGCCAATCGGACTTAGCAAAAAATATATAGCATTTCAAAAAAATAGTAGCAGAACATTAATGATCTACAGAAAGTTAGTCAGTGAGGACACTGGCTTTTCTAACCTGTTTTCATTTGCTAAGCTTGAGCTAGCTAAAGTTCGGAGGAGAGGTGCTTTGTCCCCTGCCACACAAAATGATTACTGCAGTTAAAACAAAAATGCATGATCATGCAGAAAAGTATTCTGCAAAACTGTGAATTATGCAGTATGTATTCAATATGCATGCTAAGATGTGTTTGCTCTGTGGAGGCTTGGAAGAAATAGGTAACTTCTATGTACACATGCTTTCGTGCAAGACTTTCCAAACGGCACAAAATTTAATTACTACTATTTTTTAGTATCTTCTGAAATTGCTACTGTATCTTTAAGAATCCTCAATCTAAATACTTCAGCCTTTTATGGAAGGAGACAAGGACAGTATGAATTAGCAAGATGGGTGTTTGACAGCATCACAATTGCCAACACAAGTCCTGATGAAAAGAAGCACCAGCTCCAAGCTCTATTTAACTTTTTCATTATGACTTGCAAAATGTAACAGTCATCACAAGGAATTAACTATATAACAATAGTACAATAACTGAAAAATAAAAACACGATTTCAGTGTGGCAAAGTAATTTGTGGAAGCATCTAGTGTTTCCACAATAGCAGTAGATAACACTGCAACCCTTCAAAAAGGATTATTTTTACTGTGTTCAGCAACTATGACTTTACACATGTAAAGGAGATTTAAGCATAGATAGATCTACAGCATAAATATAGCCAAACAGGTCTATTTAATTGGTGACTCTGGTGCTCACACGTAAGACCAACAATTAAGTGTGCCTACCTTCTCACTTTGACACTATCTTTTAAAAAAAACCAACAACACAAAAACAACACCCCACCCAAACTAAAACATTGTGTTCTATAACAAAAGTTAAATTGAAAGGATTTTTTTCTACCCTACTAGATAGAAATTACTTAGATTATCATTTGAATACACAATACTTTTGCTTAGACATAAAATGAGTTCATCTATATTAGACAACGGCTGTAGAAGCTTCTGAAAGTGCAAATAGTAATACTGACTCGTAAGGCATACTGAATGAGTAAACATATTCACAACTTGTGCTTAGCTGCATATGAATTCCAATGTATACGTTACTGCAGTTTCAATGTATGATGGCATTAGTATTTTTAACCCTGTTCCTTAGGCTAACATCTTCAGGAGACATTTCAGTGTTTACTTTCAACTATTCTTGGAGGCCTCCACTGCAAAGCATTACCTATCTGTAATCTGTTTTCCTTAACAGATCAAGTTGAATACATAAAGAATGGTACATTTTTTCCCCATCTTTCCACCCCCCAAAAAATTATTCAACTACAGTATTTCACCTAGCAAGGCTACTTAATGGAAGAGATCTTCACAGTATAGGCAAATGCTCTTAATTTTTTCAGGTCCAATGCATACACTTGGAGCAGAATTTAGGTATGTCCAAAAGTCAACATTGACCTCAGGAATACTGCAAGTATCAGAGCTCACCTGGATAGAGTCAGGACGTGGCCTCTTGTGCCAAATGGAACTCCACCAACAAAATGGTAAGAAAAATAAGAACTCTAGTGGGATATCTGGTCCCAGGGAGCACCCTTTTGCCACTATTACAGCTACATAAGGATTAGCTTGCTAATTGATGCAAATACAGCTGTACAAACTCGAATATGGTCACAATTACAACAAATGAAACTCTAGGTTGCTCTGTGTGAAACCTAACAAAACCCAAATATAATAGCCTTATGTGGAGATAAAGAAACATTCCAATTATTTTCTCTGCATATTATCTTTTTCACTTTTGCTGGAATATGGTAGCTCAGTGTGAGACAAAAAACGAAGCTGACACAGGCGTAACGAAAATTAAAGAATGTACAGAATTAACGGAATAATCTGCTTTCTATTTTAAAATGCATTGTTTCTAAAATAAGTTGCCTAAGCTTTTTTCCTAACCAAAACCCCCCCCCCCATGCAAAAACTATAAATTGTTAGAATGGCAGCTGAGATTGGGATCCAAAATAATAAAGGTTTCTGCTAACAAGAAACGTTATGACTAAATGAATAGAGGCAGGAATGGGAAAAATAACATTTTACCAACAGGTAACTTGAGGCTGGAGTTAAGTGACTTACCTAAAGTCACATAAGATGTCACTGGCAAAATTCAGGAGGTGAACCCAGATCTTTAGTTCTAAGACACATCCTCCTGTTTAACACTTCTAAATCACACGGCTTCTAGCCAAAACATAACAAAAAAGTTGCTAGAATGCGGAGGAAAAAAAAAAAATCTCACTAACATGCAAATGTCAGCCTAGAATACCAATACAAAACGAACATGACAAAGACTCAGAGCCATCTACAAAAGTAAGAAAACCTATGTACAAGGACAAGCGAACAAAAAAAATCCTAAGTTTTAAAGGGATTTATAAAAATACGAGTGTTACCGTAGGCAGAAAATACTTGCTGGGTTAAACATATTTTGCTCTATTGCTGCCTCAGTGGCTACAGTTTCTATCCTTCTTGACAGTCAATATTCTTAATTAACTGTGAGAATCATACATTGCTGAATACACTGCAAACACTGGGGTTAGTTGCAGTTTAGGACTAAAAATAACACAGAAATATACAATTTTCAAACCAAGTATCAGGGCTGTAACCACCATTTACTTCTCCTTTAAAATTAATGAAGCCAAAATGCTATGCAAGACTATGAACACACCAGTTACATACCATCCTTACCTGCAAAGGAAGGAGAGTATTACTGTTGTTGTCAGTTCGGAAAACATTATCTTCAATCCACGATTTTGGTGTCAGTGATGGAGTGGAGCGAGTAAATTTAGGAGGAGCTATGACATTACCAGAAAAGGGCTTCTTCAAAGGAGAGATCTGGTTCATAGTTCCTGGAATTCCCATGTTTCCAGTTCTACGATGGTCTCTGCCATGCATTCCTCCCCAGGATATATTTCCTGTGCTCCAGCCGCTACTCTGATTGCTCCAGGGCGACTGCTTCAGAAGAGGCTAAAAAGATAAAATTCATTTATATTATTTTGAAAATACTTGAAATGTTTTTCTACTTTAAAAAACCCACAAAATAACAAAAAAAACAGAACAACCAACCACCAAGTAATCAGTGTGCAGAGATTTCTATAAACCCCTCTTTCCTGATAACATGTAAATTAATTACTGAGGCAAGGAAGAAAACACAGCATCATAAAAAAACCCTGTAATTCCCCCTGCCCCATACACTCCCCGCAAAACCCTGCAGTACTTATGCAAGCAGTTTAGATTATCATTTTAGTAATTGGTAGCATTCTTTAAAGCTACCCAGTAGAACAATTCCAGGGTATAACATCATGTTACAAAAAACCCTGAGACCATTTTATCACACATTATTTGGTATAATATAGTAACATCTCTGCAAAAATAACACAAGAATTTTAAAGGCGTCAATTTTAAAATTTATTATTAATAATAATTATTATTCTACTACTAATAATTATTTATACTCAGTGAGTAGTAGTATTTCACTCGAGTGAGTAGAAATTTAAAAATTAAAATTGAGATGGCAGATTGATTCCCCCCCTACTATTTTGAGTATCATTGTCTCAGTATTACCATATAAGAGCAAAAAGAGCAGCAATTACTGTACAGAGAATCTGTTTGAAGGAGTTATCTTAACATTTCCACATTAAAATGCATTATTCTGAAGCTACTGCTCAAGTATTTCTGGAGTAATCAACAGGACTATCTGTGGAATTCTGCAGGGTGGAATCTGGGGTTTTTTTTGATTTTTTTTTTCCCTATTTAGATGTGGTATAAAGTATTTCTCTATCTAACAAATGCACTATATTCCTCAATATGAAAATGTAAGCAGTCTTTAGAGGGAAGATTTTACAGGATGGTAAGTTTTTATTCCTAAGCCACAACTTGTGCTAAGAAGTGACCTATAGTGCTTGTCATACTACCAAGAGGTGGACCCACTGAGCATGACTGACAGTGAAGAACGATATTTATCTTTAGTGTTCTCAAATCTGACTGTTCTTGGAAAGGCTTTTTCTCAAACATAGAAATGGGGTGTGTGGGATATTCTAAATTCAGTTCTTCTGTGAAGTCAAAACACAGTACTTTAAGCTTAGCTGCAAGCAACCCTGAGCTTGTAGTTCTAATAACTTAAAAATTTAAAGCATGTCAATTCATCAATATGTATTAAACAGAACTTTCTGAAGACAGATAAAATTATAACGCAAACCCCTCCTGCCCGAAAACAAACAAAAAACCCCACTAAAGCCATCCTTGGTCAAGTAATCAGGACAACATCCCATTCTATATAATTATAGATAATTATGTTGTAAAACTTGAATACTTTGGTTGGAATTTTGGGAGAGGCAGGCACTCTATTGTGAAACAAAACTTAAGAGATAATGCCAAATGTTAACAAGCCTCTAATATTGCTAGCTATGCTGTCATGGCACTGTTTAAGTTTACCTACAACTTGTAACTGAGAGAAAATTCCTGTACACATCACTGTTGGAGAATTGCTTTGGAATTTGTTTGAAGAGGGTTATACAGATGTTAAGGACAACTAGCTCCTAATCATGATGCATCCAAATCAATTCTTGGACAGGCAGCACGCTTAATGCGAGATTCCACTTCTGATAAAAGCGCTTCACAAATCCAGCTCTACCGATTAAAACTGACAGGACTTAATATCAGAATGAAAGAAAAATTAAGATGAGGCCTATTTAACTTCGGCTTTTCATAACCGATCAGATAATCGGAGCAAGATGTGGCTATAACACACTAGCAGGTAATATTAACGTGCATCTGCTCTTCTCTGATTTCTTACAACGAATATTTTGTTCTAGGAGGAAAGGGAAACTTCCATTTTAAGACGGGATCGTTACGCCGCTCGATTAAAATCGGTAGCAGAACTACGGTAACCCGAAACATTGCGCTGTCTTTCGATACAAATTCAAGTAATTTGGGGCAAACCCCACGAAAAGGCAACAACGCTGACAGCTTTCCCATCTGAATCTACCTTCGGTGACCGGTGCCCATCCAGCCGAGCACGCCCGGGGGGGCGAGGGCAGGTCTGAGGCTGGGGAAGGGGCTTCCCGAGGAGGCGGCACCGGCCGGAGCTGTCAGGCTCATTGTTCGGGGACACCGCGCTCGCTACGGGCGACTGCGGCGGGGCGGGGGGGGCAGGAGGGGCATTTTCACGGCGGAACTCCTTCCTGACACGAAAAGGAGCGTCTACTGTCTTTTCAAAGACGAACCCCCCTCCTCTCATCCCGAAAAGAAACGACGTCCCTGAGCAGCCGACGGCGTCCCGAGGAGGGCCGCTCACAGCCCAGGGGACGCGGCCGAAGCGGCCGCCCCGCCACCTGCCACCCGGAACGGGCGGGGAGCAGCGGCCGGGCGCGGGGCGGGCCGCTGCCAACAGCCCCCCGGCCCGAGCCCTACGGCCGCCTTCCAGT